ATTTCCGTAACTCGCTGAGTCACCTTTTCTCCCTTGTCTTTTTCTGTAAATTATGTAATGGGCCGAGTCGCTGTCCTTCTGGGCCCATTAAGACTAAGATGGCTATAATATTCTCCGAATATACTATATATATACACCAACCACCACTTCTACTAATTTATAATAATGCCAAAAAAACATTATTTTAAATATTAAAATTTCAAATAATTTTAATAGTAGCATCAACCCCTTTTTCCCTCTCTTAAAATAAATATAAAAAAATTCTTAGAGTCAATATAATTAAACTGTCTATTAGCATCTCATAATAGATTTTTTTAAGTTTAAATTTTTGAAATTTTTTTAAATAAAAAAAATAGTATTATTGAAACTTTTGAAAATTCGTATTTTTAAAATAAAGTATTAACGGTTTCTGACTGTAGTTAATTTTTTTAAAAGTTAAATGATATTATTGAAACTTATTTTTTTTAATAATTTAGTGAATTTATAATAATTATTTTTTAATCAATATATAATTTTTTTATTAAACTATGTTTCTGTTGTAACTATAAACTCATTCTCATAATATTTTCGAAATTAGCTATTTTTGTCATTTGGTTAAAAAACTAAAGAAATAGTTTTTTTTAAAATTATATTTAGGCGGACCCTACAAGGGTGGCCCATTAAGCAACGCGCTTAAAGAGACGGGCCCACGTGTCATATTGATTGGTTTTAAAGAAATATTCATCTACTTTTTCCCTTCCATAAATAAAAATATTTTGTAAATTAAATTTGATTGATAATTCATCACAAAAAGATAGAACTTGTGGGTCATCATTTTTCGTCATGAAGTGCTAAATTAGAGGTGTTAAAAGAATGGATAAGGCACCAACTCAATTTAGGTTTGATAAAATTTTAAATTAATAATACGAGTAAATTCTGTTGGGTCCTTAATAGTAAGGATTATTTGTTTGGGTTTAAAAAATTTATAATCAAACTAATTCATATAAAAGGATGTTCCTCCCTTGTGTTAAGAATCACGACTTTATACAATGATATGATATTGTCCACTTTTACCATAAGCTCTCATGGCTTTGCTTTGGGCTGCACAAAAGGCCTCATATCAATGGGGATTAGTATTCCTCACTTATAAACTCATGATCTTTCACTAAATTAACTAACTTGGGACTCGCTTCCAATAATCTTCAACAACTTGACCCAACCTATGAACACGCTTATGCTAAATAATGTTGTAATTATATCATTTTGTCATATATTAGCGTTTTTCTTTTTAACTGAACGTTAATGTTAGACTTTACCGTTGAATTTTCTAAGAACATTCTCCCGTAAAGAAGAAATTTATTATTAACTTGCTTGAGATTTGAAACTTCACTCAAGCTTTTCGGGTTTAGCGATGATTTATTATCGTATTAGAGTAGGAGGTCGAGTAGGAGGTCGTGTGTTTCGAAAGAGTGATCAAGAGGGTGGGAATTTGAAGCCATTGGTTGCTGTTCTGTCCAAGCCTCATTTTGTTGTATGCAATTCATGGAAGATCTTTTGTGCAGCCAGAAGGGTGGAACTTACTTGTAAGTGTTTCTGTCTTACTTTCTCTAAACTTACTATCATCTTTTCTTTTTCATATAGAGCTGCCTTCATGATCTCAATAGTCATTGGCAACAACCTGATAAAGATACCATTCAGTACTTCACGCTCGGCGAGCTATGGGATTGCTACAACGAATGGAGTGCGTATGGCGCCGGTATCCCGATACAGTCGAACGGTTCGGAGACTGCCATGCAGTTCTATGTGCCTTATCTGTCTGCAATTCAGATCTACACAAGCAAGCCTGTTGCCCCTCCCAGGTATACTGAAGCTACTTTCATATCATGCTTGCTGCTGCCTTGGAATGTTTGAAAACTCTGTTTCTCTATGAAAAATGGCTTTTTATTGGTGCGGGTTGAGATACAACTCGACTCCCTTTAATCATCAGGAAGAATACTTAAAAAGCAATAAAAGGGAATGTTTGATATGCCCTATTGTATTGCAATCTATTGTGAGATCTTACATTGGTTGGGGGAGGAGAACGGAACATTCTTTATAAGGGTGTTGAAACCTCTCTCTAGTAGACGTGTTTTAAAAAACTTAAAGGGAAGCCCGAAAGGAAAAGTTCAAAGAGGACAATATCTGCTAGTAGTGGACTTGGGTTGTTATAGTAAGTAATCTATTTTTGTTCAATTTCTCTTTATAGAAACCGAAGATATGATAGCGACATGGCAGAATGCGAAAGTGATTCGTGGAGCGACGATAGCTGGAGTGATAATCTGTCAAGATCCTTGAGCAACAACTCTAGCAGGACATGGGATGCGGTTTCTGAAGATAGCTTCGACCAGGACGGATCGTGGTCGTTAAGGGAAAAACTTGGTTACCTCTCTTTACAATATATGGAGATGTCTTCTCCTTATTGGAGAGTGCCTCTTTTGGACAAGGTATGCCTATTTCTTGAGCGTGCATAAAAGAACAGTATATCCTCAACCTCGACATTCCGACGAGCATTTCTCATCGAGGATGGAAACTCCATGTCGTTAAGAACAAGAAAAACAAAACCTATTGAACTTCAAATTTAACTGTTCTATAGTTGTTGATATTGTGAACATTTTCTTTACTTATGTTCGAAAATTTTCATTTCAGATAACGGAACTAACTCAAACATATCCAGCTCTAAATACACTTAGGAGTGTGGATCTTTCTCCAGCTAGTTGGATGGCTGTTTCTTGGTAAACAACACCGCCTTCCTCTATCTATCGATCGACACAAGCTTTCGGGTTATTGATTTTGTTTGCTGTGTTCGGCTTGAATCACAGGTATCCTATTTATCATATCCCGAGTCAAATAAACGACAAGGACTTCTCGACGTGCTTTCTAACGTATCATACATTGTCTTCGTCTTTCCAAGGTGCGTGATTGTCTGTCTATACTCGTTTTCAAAATATTTTAGAATTCTTTGTCCAATGTTTGATGAATTCCAGATTGCTCTATGGATCATGAAGGGCAAGATGGATATACTTGTTCGAATATCGCAACCGCAGGCCAAACCGACGACAAAACGAGCGGTTCTTCTTCTTCTTCTTGCCTTTTCCCATTTGGGTTAGCCACTTACAGAATGCAGGGAGATCTCTGGTTGCAGCCAGAGACATCGGATTACGAACGGATGGTCGATCTCTATCATACTGCTGATTCGTGGTTGAAACAGCTCAACGTCCATCACCACGACTTCAACTTCTTTTCCCTTCACTCAACCTTATAGATGATGAGTTTCTTTTGTGCAACCAACATGAGAATACTATGCCTTGTCTCTTCCCACAGCACTTCACTTGACAGTTTAGCTAGAAAACTGAGTTTGATTGATTAAGAACAACAATCCTTTTGTAGTTTTTAACTCGGAAAAAGAACAAATGATGAACAATTGTTGTGCTTTGAGGGTGAGTTTTGTATTTAAGTTCAAGGCTTTAGTGTTTTCTTTTCCCTCTACTTCCCTTTGGACCTTTTGTTGTGTTGTGTTGTGGACTTCCCTGACATTTAGAGGATGCTGCTTTTTACAACATGCCTGATTGGAAGTTGTTTTGTAATGCAAGTTTCTATTATTGTATTCCTTTATGGCTTTTATTATGATGATCGTACGTTACACGTTCTCGGGAAGTTTCTCGACTCGTAGCTTTTAATAGACTCAAAACACGTAATTAGATCGTTCCTTTTTTTTGATATACGAAATATGATCGATTTTATTTGCTAGTGTGACGAAAAAGAAAGAAAAGTGCTTCCGGCCCAGGGATGTCCCCACACGGAGAGTTTGCCCTCCGAATATGTTTGCCATATATCGGGGTGGCAGATGGAATCGGGGTGGATTGAGGCAAAAACATCTCTTCAAAGACAATATTCAATAACTGAGAAAGCGAATCCAAACCAATGGTATCAGCCTCTCCCCAGGTTTGTTTGGTTTGGGAATCCATGAGATCCATTAGGTTGTTCAGGGAAGAGCGGTTGCAAGGAGAGGAACATCGGTCAAAACAACCAATGTTCCAGGGGCCCATTAGGATAGCGTGTGACATGAGCACCGGAATAAGTGGTGTAACTATTTTTAGTTCTTTTTTTTTAAAAAAAATGTATTTTTCGAGGTAGAATAAAAAGCTGGATTCAGAACTCTAATAGTCTCGATACGAGATTTTTCTACCTCCCTTACGATCTGATCGAATTACCTACTTGACTTGTTTTAAATTGTTTCTACGGTTGATGACGATCACCATAAACTAATTCAGATTCTTTTAGTATGTTTTGTTCTAACTCACATCATTTCAAGAAGAAATTCTAGAAAATTTATTTGTTTAGTTTACATATTTAACTTTGGAGTTTCAAGACGGAAGAAGTAGAGGTGTTCAAAATATTGGACGACTAGAAAAATCCAATCAACCGATCTTGAATGGTTCGAGTTAGGTTATAAACTTATTTCGGTCGGGATAGATTCAATTAAAAAAAAAAAAAAAAAAAACTTTATGAGTTGAATGGTTAGTCAATTTATTATTAATTTCATGATTATGTTTTTTTATTAAATAATCTTTCAAAATATATATTCAAATTAAGTTTTAATTTTAATAGACCATCCAAACAACCCGAACCAACTCAATCCATAAAATTTGTAGTTGAACGCTGTGAGTTGAGAAATTTACAGATTAGATAAATTGGTTGAGTCTAAACATCCAAACCCGACACACAAACACTCTAGAGATAAAAAATTTTTTTTTTGTTAATATAGATAATAATAATAACTTTTTAAACATTTTTTTTAATTATCATAATAACTCATTTATTATTTATTTTATCATTTCATCTTATTTGAGTTATCCATGAGAATCAAAAAGAAAACTGTAAGAAAAATTGTGTTTGGGCTTTAAATAGTAAATTAATAATTCCATAAATCGTGTTCATGTAATTTGAGAAACTTATCTGTGAATTGTTTTATAGGCAATTCCATAATTACACAATTTCTAATAATTCGAACCAATTTCTTCAAAAAGCCACCTCGAATGTGCAAAAACTCCAATGAATTTGAGAATTGGATTAAGAAATTCTCAGAAATGTTCTTGAGAAAATGATGAACAGATACCTTAATTGGGAAGGAAATTTTAAACCCAAAATTTCTCATTGATTTAAGAATGAGTGCCTTAGAGGCGGCCCATCACAACCGTCTCCATTGCTTCGCTGGGATCAATTCTTCATTTAAACCGTCTATGAAACTGCAGGAAAATTGTTGAGTTCGTGTGTTTGTGGATAGCAATGAAACAAAAAGAAGGGATTCATGCGTTACAAGACTCCGTATCTGTTGGTTTCGATTACTTATACTTCCATATATTGGGCATTAAGCTCCACGCAACCGGTGCCTGATTCCGAATCCGATTCCGATTCCGATTCTTCTGTGTTCTTCGTGCCGATTTCGTGTAATTCGATGGTTCAGAGTTGGTAATTTGCGAGCAAATTCAAATGGCGGCGCTCTTTATTCTGACGTTCGCGTTTGGATTTGTGTTTGGGGTTGTGGCAACCGTTGCAGCGGAGGCTTATGGAGCGTTCGTCATTTTGAACAAGTTGAACAAGCGGTCTCAGAAGGATTTGGCTAAAGTCAATGCCAAGTTAGCGCAATCCAAGCCAGATCTCCATCAATCCCTCGATTATCTTTCCCACAAACAGGTATTTTATGGTGCCCTAATCTTGGAAATGAGCGTTTGTTGTTCTAAATTCAGGTGTTCTGTGTTCTTGTTTCGCGCCAGAATTCATAACTGTCGAAATTTCATTAAAATTCCATAGTTTCGCCACTGATTAATGTTCGTTTTGGTGATTGATTTTACTATAATTCTGGATTTTGGTGCTTATTTTACTTGCATAGATTCTGTTTTGGGCTCTCTGAAATATACATATTGGATTAACTTTGATATGAGAAGATTGCTTCCAAGTTATAGCCATAATGCTTCAATTTTAGCTAATTCTTAAGAGGAAACTATATCATCCATGGCAGTGATTTAGCTAAATCTTAAGAGGAAAATATATGATCAAGTAGGTTGGTAATATAAATGTGGTATTCATTCCTTAGGGTTCTGTTTGGATACTAGAATCGAGCGTCGTCGAAGATTTCAAAGAGAAAGCGACTAAAGAACAAAAGAAAAGGAAGGATTTCTGGGAGGTAACTCCTAGCAAAAAGTATGCAAGAATCAAGGACCATTCGTTAACGATATTGGAACTGGATGGTAAGGAGAAAACAATTCGATTAAAAGGCTGCACCATTGAAGCTGTTTCGGCGTCGGCCCTTCCTTCAAGAAAATGGTAATTTTCTTCTTATTTCACTTGTTTTCAATACTTATGAAATTGATATAAAAAGTTGATTCGGTCGAGTGCTTGTAATATATGTCCATAAATCCACACAAAGCACACGATATTCACGAACACATTTGGGAAATTTAGAGTAGAGGAAGTGCAAGGTTTTATCGCTCGATTAGGACACTCGAGAATAAGCTTTGTGTATCGATAACAGCGGTGAAGTCTAGCACGTGATGATGTTCTTGGTCAAATTTTTTGTTGGCTTAAAGACATTTCTGTTTTGTTGTTACTAATTGCTTTTTTTTTGAGATGCCGTATTGAAGAAATCATCTGTTTTGATGTGATTATTGGAATTTCAGGGTGAAAAGGTTCCCTTTAAAATTGGAAAATAGAACCTCTGTGATTTATAATGAAAGTAAAACAATTTTCATTTTTCTTGAGACTTCCTGGGAGAAGGAAGCATGGTGTAAAGCCCTGCGTTTAGCTTCGTGTGTCGACAAAGAAAGACTGCGCGGGTTTGCTAAATTGCAGAAAGAGTTCCATAGTTATATCTCTTCATTAAATACTGGGTATCCTTCATTTATGAAGCCCTCTGCAGGGTACTATGTTGAAGCAATAGATAAGGACATCAAGCCTAACGCTTCGTCTTCGAAGGTTCGCCTATTTTTCAAAAAGCTGACGAAGAAGACGTCGAAGGCTGGTTTAGACTACAAAGTAAATTCTTCTTCTTGTTCTTCTTCTTCGTCGTCTTTGAGTGAAGAGAAAAAGTTTAGTGAGAGGTTTCATCCGAGTCCGGATTTTATTTCATCATCGGCTGGCTTAGGAAAAGGAATTCCGAAGGTGCCGAGTGCTAAAAGTTTATCTGAGGAAGTTATGGCAGCACCATCAACCTTAACAAATTCAGTAAGCCAAGGTCAGGCCTCTGTTGTCTCTGATCCTGATCCCGATGACAGGCTTTGGACCGATGATGGAACGCTTTGTTGGAATTTGTTCATGTCACGATTTTTTTTTGATGCCACAATCAATGAAAGGGTAATGAAATCCTTACATGATCGAGTTCAGGTTCGTTTCTTCCCCAAGAGAGCTTTGTTTTTTGACGTGTTGAATCAGTTGAAGTACTGTTAGAAGCATCTCGATGTTTTGCGTCGATTACTTGTATAATACTCCTCTCATTAATTTCTTTTACTGTTCGATGAATATTTGGAATTCAATCTTAAGAGAACAAGGACGGTTGGGGGACCGAGTGATACAATGGGTGAGAAATGAGACCTATTCGCTTCGGTTAGTTAGATGTTTTGTACGTTTTTAGGCCGTTTGATAGGAAAGAAAAGGGTATCTTTTTGTGTTTGGTTGTTCTGTAGCTCGGTTGGTTTAATGAGGGAGCTATTGAAATTCCCTTGGCTTTGCCAAAATAATAAATAAATTCTTTGGTTTACTTTTGTTTGGCAGAGGTTGTTGTCTAAGATGAGGACTCCGAGCTACATTGGCGAAGTTATTTGCACTAAAGTTCGTCCGGGAAGCCTCCCGCCCAATATTAATGCTATCAGGGTTCTTCCCTTTGAACTGAATGAGGTATGGGCGCTGGAGGTTGACTTCGAATACTCCGGGGGTTTTTGCTTAGATATCGAGACGAGAATTGAAGTTCATGAATTAGATCTTCAAAAAACCGCTGTAGACTCGAAACCCGATACGAGTGATGTTGGGGAAGTCTCTTTAATTCTAGAAGATTATCTTGGAAAGCAGTTCAGTACTTCTGAAGGAACAGAACAGCATGAGGAAGGTGACTGACTAATCATTAGAAAATATCTATTTTTATTCGAGTAGTTTTTCATACGATGTTCGGTTGTGCAGGTAGGTCAGTAAACGGTAAGAATCCCACGGCCTCATCCTCGAGCGGATCTAGGTGGAAATCTCTAATGAATTCGATCGCTAAACAGGTTTCTCAGGTTTGTAAAATCTCTGCATTTTGAGAATCAAGTAAAAGGGTATCGTTTTTGTAAGAAACCGAGCTTGCATACAAAGACATAAAAAACGAGGCTCGAATCTAAAAGAATAACGCCTAACCGATAAACAAGGAGCCTTAGAGGAAAACACCCCTAAGGGTATCCTATTTTTCTCATTTTGTTTTTGAATTTATAGGTGCCTATTTCCGTGGTAGTAAAGATTGTAGCTCTTCGAGGGACGCTTCGGTTACATATAAAGCCACCTCCTTCTGATCAGCTATGGTATGGTTTTACATCCATGCCTAATTTGGAGTTGCGCTTGGAATCATCGTTCGGGGACCATAAGATAACGAGTACGCACATTTCTCAGTTCTTGATCAATCGGCTTAAGGTATGGAGATCAGTTTCCCATACTTGAGATCCTTACGCATTAGCGTAGCACAAGAACTATGGGGTGGATATGGTAACGTGTTAACTTTTGGGGTTGAGTGTGAGATCTCACTATCGCTTAGAGAGGGGAACGAAGCATTCTTATAAAAGTGTAGAAACTTTTCCCTAGCAGACACGTTTTAAAACCGTGGTGATGGTGATACATAATGGGCTAAAACGAATAATATCAACTAGCAGTGGCCTCGGGCGGTTACAAATGGTATTAAAGCCAAACACCAGGGCGGTGTGCCAGCGAGGACGTTGAGCCCCCAAAGGGGGTGGATTGTGAGATCCCACATCGGTAGGAGAGGGGAACAAAGCATTCCTTATAAAGGTGTGGAAACCTCTCCCTAGCAGACACATTTTAAAACCGTGAGGCTGATGTCGATACGTAACGAGCTAAAGCGGACAATATCTGCTAGCGGTAGCCTTGGGCTGTTACAAATAATATCAAAGCCAGACATCGGCTGGTGTGCCAGCGAGGGCGTTGGGCTCTCAAGGGGGTGGATTGTGAGATCCCACATCGGTTGGAGAGGGGAATGAAACATTTCTTATAAGGGTGTAGAACCCTCTCCCTAGTAGGCACATTTAAAAACTGGGAGGCTGACGGCGATACGTAACAGGCTAAAACGGACAATATCTGCTAGCGGTAGCCTTGGGCTGTTACAAATGATATCAAAGCCAGACATCGGCTGGTATGCTAGGGGATGGATTGTGAGATCCCACATCAATTAGAGAGAGTAACGAAACATTCTTTATAAGAGTGTAGAAACCTCTCTTAAACAGACACGTTTTAAAACGAGACACGTTTAAAACCGTTTTCTTACATAAACAGGATGAAATTTAGAGATTGAGTAATGTTGTTGTGCTGATTACTGCCATTGGTTATCAATTATAATTATGCAGGCAATGATCAGGGATACTTTAGTGCTCCCCAACTATGAAAGTATATACTTCCCATTCATGACGGCAGAAAAGGACGACTGGGTTCCACGGGATGCTGCACCATTCATGTGGCTTAACCATGAAAATCAAAGATCCCATCCAGTTGAACCCAAAAACAGAGCTGAAGCCAATAAAACCACCGCCACCGATCAACACGGAACTGAGCAAAGAAAACCGAAGAACATCGAATCGTCTCAGGCACACTCCGACTTGCCACATGCATCAAAGACATCATCAAGTAAGGCACTGTACAGAAACGAAATGAAAATCCCTTTGTTAGAATACGATGAGAAAGAGCGAGATAGAGAGTGTGTCCAAGAGAATGAATCGCCATCGAGATCTGTAAGCTTTTCGGGGCAGGAAAGTAAAGAGGGTGAAGTAGATGAGCCAAAGCCAAGGAGAATAGGAAGAAGAGCAAGAATGCGTGAAATAGGGAAGAAGATGGGGGAGAAAATAGAAGAAAAGAGCAAGAACATTGTTGAGAAGATGCGAGGACCATAAGTTTTGTTTCAACCTTTTTCTGTATAGATACATACATACATTACATTACACCTTATTATTCAGTCATCAACAACACAACACAAAAGAAGCTTATACAACAAAGATTATTATTATTTTTTTCTTTTCTATGTAATACTTGTAAAAGAACATTGTTCGAGACTTCAAAGTCGGGAAGTAGAGATGTACATTAGGTAGGGACGGGAACGAGGACAGGGATACCTTCCCTGTCCCTGTTCTGCATCCATGCCCATGCTTCCTATTTTATCCCTCGTCCCCACAAAAAATGGAGATAGGGATTCATCACGGAAATTTGTGGGGATTATATATATATATATATATATATATATATAAAGTTATTTTGTGCCTTTATAGTCTCGTCCTTGGTCTAGTTTAGCTAACAGGGAGAAATCTTTCTCTGCTCTCTCTCCATTCTCGATTAAAAATGGGGAGGTCCAGTTTAGCTAACAGGGAGAAAACTCTCTCCGCTCCCTTTTCATTTTCAGTTTAAACGGAGATTTTTCATCTCTTTTGAGGTCTAACAGGGAGAAATCTCCCTCCGCTCTCTTTCCATTCTTGATTTAAACGGAGAGGTCTAGTTTAGCTAGCAGAGAAAAATCTCTCCCTGCTTCCTTTCCATTTCTGATTTAAACTAAGATTTTCTATCTCTCATTAAATAACGTAATTCTTAAAGTAGAGAGATATAGACATTAATCATTTTAAAATCGAGACCACGAATAATGACGGATTTATAAATAAGTTTTGAAAATATATGAATGGATAAAAGGAGGAAGCTTATAATTTAACATTTCTTAAATACTTATTTCATATTTTGGGTAACTCTTTGAAATAAATAAATAAATAACATTTTTATTGTTAAAACTCCCTTGAAAATAAAATTTTAATTTACTTTTTATTTTTCTTCTCTTTATTATTGACGAAGCTTTATTTAATTTTAGGCGCGACAAATTATCCATATTTTTAACGAGCATTTGTTTTCGCACCACTGACAACATTTCCAAAAATTTTGTTAACTCCGCTAAGAGGCAAGAATTCCCGACGCTGCAAATTCGACTAAGGCCGCCGGAGGACGGCCAATTGCTACACTGCACATGGTAGCGGCGTTCATCCCTTGTTGCTTGAACTTTTCCCCAAAACTTGGCCATTTCAATCGCCCTTTGATCCACGCAGCGGTATGTAAAAATCACAGAGGCGTGAGGTTGAAAAGTTGCGGCGTTGCAAGGCCTCAAATACTGTCGCCTGCATTCGAAGAAGAGGATGGCCTGCGAGTCTTTGTGCTGTCCGATCTGCACACGGATTACCAGGAAAATATGAATTGGATTAACTGCTTGTCTTCGGTCAAATATAGAGACGATGTTCTTCTTGTTGCCGGAGATGTGGCGGAGAGCTACAGTAATTTTGTTTCAACAATGGCTCTGTTGAAGGATAAATTTGAGCGCGTCTTCTTTGTGCCTGGGAATCACGATTTGTGGTGCCGTCGAGAGGGAGACAATTATGTAAGTTGTCGGAGGTTAGGTTTCCTTGTTCGAAAGTCTCTGTTAATTTCTTGGTTTGTACCTTATCAGCCTGATTTACTAGTTTGTTCGATTATAGATCCGTAATTCCTAACATGATATTAGAGCCATACTCTTAATTTAGCCATGTTGAACAAAGAAATTGCTAGTCTCGATTAAGGAGAGGTTGTTGGAGGGTTACATAGACTTCAGGGGAGGCTCTATAGTGTACTTTGTTCAAGGAGAGAATTGTTGAGAGGGAGTCCTACATTGACAAATTTGGAGGAGGATCATAGGATTATAAGCAGGAATACTATCTTCATTGGTATGAGGCCTTTCGGGGAAGCCAATTGCAAAACTACGAGAGCTTATGCTCAAAGTGAACAATATCATACTACCTTGGAGACTATCTCCATTGGTATGAGGTTTTTCAGGGAAGCCCATTGTAAAACCATGAGAGCTTATGCCCAAAGTGAACAATATCATACTATTGTGGAGACTATGTCCATTGGTATGGGTCTTTCGGGGAAGCCCATTGCAAAACCATGAGAGCTTATGCTCAAAGTGAACAATATCATACTACCGTGGAGACTATGTCCATTGGTATGAGGTCTTTCGGGGAAGCCCATTGCAAAATCATGAGAGCTTATGCTCAAAGTGAACAATATCATACTATTGTGGAGACTATGTCCATTGGTATGGGTCTTTCGGGGAAACCCATTGCAAAACCATGAGAGCTTATGCTCAAAGTGAACAATATCATACTACCGTGGAGACTATGTCCATTGGTACGAGGTCTTTCGGGGAAGCCCATTGCAAAACCATGAGAGCTTATGCTCAAAGTGAACAATATTATACTACCGTGGAGACTATGTCCATTGGTATGGGGTCTTTCGGGGAAGCCCATTGTAAAACCATGAGAGCTTATGCTCAAAGTGAACAATATCATACTATCGTGGAGACTATGTCCATTGGTATGAGGTCTTTCGGGGAAGCCCATTGCAAAACCATGAGAGCTTATGCTCAAAATAAACAATATCATACTACCGTGGAGAGTCGTGGTTTCTAACACTAACATACTAACATCCACACACACACATTGTGAGTTTTAGGAGAATTATATTCTTATGTCTTCTTCTTTTCAGCTTGATTCACTTGAGAAGATGAGCAATGTTTATGACGCGTGTAGTAGTCTTGGAGTTGATACCAATCCGGCGATCTTGAATGGATTAGGAATTGTTCCATTGTTCTCTTGGTATCATGAGGTGAGTGATTGAGTATTACTTGCTTTTTGTACCTTTCAGTTCTAGAGGTATTGATGCTTGTTCTTGTCTGTTCTTTTATTTTCTTTACTTTCAGAGCTTTGACACAGAAATGGACATAGAAGGAATCCGCGTTCCATCCCTGGAGATGGTGATTCACTTTCTTTTCCCCTAGTAAGAGTCTGACGAGAATTTTATTGATTGAATAATTCTTCCAGTCAGTTACTTTAGTGTAGATATTCGGGTATGGTAATTTAAGTGTGCTAGAGGAAGACTGGGGATTATTATTAATCCTTCTTTCTATTTCTTAATCCTTTCGATCCGTTTTTCAAATTCTTTCGGTTTTTGAAGCCATCATTCCAACATATTATCGTGAAATCCTATACTTGTTAGAGAAGAGAACAAAATATTCTTTATAAGAACGTGGAAATCTCTTCTTAATTGTTTTAAAAACCTTGAGGGAAGCTTAAGAGGAAAAATCCAAAGAGAACAATATTTACTAGCGATATTACCATCTTTTTTTATCTTTTGTTTAAACATAGGATTAGCTACTTTTTTTTTTTTTTTTTTTTTTTTTTTTTTTTTTTTTTTTTTTTTTTTTTTTTTTTTTTTTTTTTTTTTTTTTT